ACCGAAGCGGGGGTGCCATCCCCTCCGCAGAGGATCAAAATTGTGATGGCATGTCTTCGGATCATCCTCCGGGATGTTTCCCAGACCGTCGCCAATAGCCCATTGTGCAGCTCTAGTGCGAAGTAAATCAACAACAACAACAACAACAACCCACCCCAGGTTCCGTATTTATTCCGCCAGGACGAGTCCATCTGCCGTTCAAGGGGTGTCCGGTCATTAATGGCTAGATAGTGTATATTGTTAAAAAAGGTGACATGGTTGCTAGATTTTAAATAACTCGCTTTCTTGGCAGTCTTGATATGGCGTCTTTCCATAAGTTTATTCCTGTTTGTTCTTGTTGCAAGCTGTGTACCATCTTGCGTTAGTGTTAACACTTTTAGCATTGTAAACACAAGTAATAAGTAATAAAATACATTGTTTGCAAGAATCTCAAAACACAATGATGCCAAATGGCTTTAAAATACAACGGAAACAGTAACCCGGAAATTTAGGCGGTACCGAGCTTGCAGCGTTACCTAGTGTAGAAAACACCATCCATTAGTGAGAAAGATCGTCCCTTTTTTTATTTTGGATAGCATTGTATGCTTGCAAAATCTTCCGAATTCATTTGCTGAAAGTTAGATTAAAAAACACGTTATAATCTAACCACTATAAGTATAATAGTATTGGATGGCACTGTTTTTAAGCTTATAAGCATAAAAATCAATCGAATCTAGTGACCCGACTACGAATTTTAACTCTTAGCGCCATCTGTGTATAGCTTTACACGATCAACCAATTATTGGATCATTTGTGAAAAGCAGTGCTCTTTCTTTGATTGCATATTTTGCTAATGTTTTGTAGTTTAGCTTAATTAAATTTAAATTATGAAAATTGATAAAAAAGAACTATGTCATACGTTGTTACACAAACCGGACAGTGTGGGAATCAACTCGGGCAATGTTTTTTTGATCTATTATCAGATGTTGTTAAAAACCAATCTTCCGCAAATTCTTCTTTTAGTGACGAAACTTTTAATAGGTAGTAGTACGTTTGGAAATTTAAGTTAATTGCCGAAATCAAGTTATGGCACATTTTTTTTTAACAAAAAAGTTTTCATTTTCAAATTACGAAAGAAAATTTTTACTATTCCTTTTCTTTTACTATTTCTTATTGAAAGAAATTCGAATATAATCTAACTTTACCTCTTCATGAACCTTATTTTCGCCCATTCTTTGAAAAATTTTATTATAAATACAGGGTATCCGATCACCTGGAAAGTCATGAATTTAGGGTTGCCGAAAAATCTAATTTTTAAAGTGGATTTCAATTTCATGGTGTTCAGAATATCTGAATTTGTAACTAAATCCCCACTCACAGATTTGATTAAAATATAAAATGTTTTTATCGTGTTCTTTCAAAAAATGAAAGAAAAAACATCATTTCTAGAGCGAATTATCTTTTAAACTTCTATGATTTCAGAATTTTTTTTATTTATTTATTTTATCAATTTCAAATTCTAGCTGAAGCAGAAGCAAGTCAGTCATTGGCTAATATTTTTATTCCGAAATGAGAGCAGAAAAATCAGGAGTATTTCTTTCCTTTCCGATGAACAAGAAAAGTATCTTTAGAATGTTGTTTTGCAGAAAAAAAGAGAAAAAAAATTATTTGCTTTTGTATTTTTTTCAGCTATTTTATTGCTTCAACTCTTTCTTTACTCTGTTTTTAAATTTAAAATCTATAAATATGAAGATGCAGGGTATAACAGTTTTGGTTATATCTATCATTTCAATGAATTGTATTATAGTGCTTTTTTAAATTTATTGACGGAGAAATTAGTAACTTCGTTAAGTCATGAAAAATTCTTGGCATGAGTCATAAAAAGACATGGATTTGAAAATCTAAAATGTAGCAGATACCCTGTAAATAGTAAGTAATGTGTATTCATTTGTTCAGCATCTATTATTTTATTTTATTATCAGTGTTGAACAGCCGACCCAATTCTGAGTCTACCAATGTTCCTTGCAATTTTGAACAAAATTCAGAAAACAAGAGAAATTGTGGATCAAGCATTGGGAGAACTTTTTAAGGGAACTAAATTGCATTTTCGTCACATGAAGAGGAAAACCTCCCACGGTTAGTCTGACTACATGGCACTTTAACCCATGATCTGTCTACCACTGAGGACATTTAACATCAGCACTGTGGTCGGTGTGAGCCGTTTGCAGAATTCGTAAGCCATTACTAAGATTCAAACCTAAGTCTCCTCGTTGGAAGGCAAGCCCTCTAACATTTTATAATCTAAATAAAAATTATGCAGTGTTTAAGTGTTGGAGATCCTGTTTGTGCCAACTACCAACTTATCAAAAATTCTTACTTGCCATGACTAGGTTGTTATCATCGATTCAGCAACTTCAAATTCATGTCCTGTAATAAACTTAATATCAATTTGGGATACAGCAAACATTCGGTCCTTTTGCTATATGTTCGGTTGGCCAAATATTCGTCTAAGAATTATTTTTTGACAAAATTATTTTGAGGTATAGTTTAATTGATATTATAAATAATCTGAAATCGTATTTTGTGTTATAAAGCTGTTTATTGCTATAAAGCAAGATTAAAAGAACTTACATATTTTTATTAATATTTAAGACCACGTCAACACATTTCAGGGGAAATTGTTATACTACTCTGATATAGAGCGGACAGTGGGTGCTAGAATTTAAATTTCTGAAAATTTCAAAAATAAATTATTTTCTGGCATAAAATATTTAAAAAGCATGTGTTGAGCGCCAAATATGTGTAGGATTTTAAAATAATAATATTTTAGCCGTAAAAATAATTTAAATATCATTTTTTAATTTTATTTAATTGTGCATACTGATACATTGTATGTACATACTGATTTGTTTTCAAATTAATATTTAATGTAGCTTTAATTTTATGAATACTGATTTTAAAAAAATTGAACAGTATCTTTATATATCAGGAGCGTCAGTTGATTGCCAGCATTCCATGTAGGCAATCACAATGCATGCCCTCTCTTCTTTTCATTTGTATAGGAATGTACTACGATTTCATTACGTATTTAATTGTTAAAAATATTTTTTTTTAAATTTCCGCAATGATTTCTTTAAGATCTATGTTCAATGTAGTTTTTAATTCCATGTAGTTTCCTAACTTAAAAGAGATTTATCTATATGAAAATCAAGAGAGAAACTAACATACTACCTCCTTCTACGACTCTCCACACGCTGATGGCGAAAGCATGAAGTGTTGCCTTTGGTAGAAAGTTCTGCTCTACGCCACCCATAGCTTGTTTTGATCATCAATATTGTGTGGGTACTACGCAATTACGTAACTAGTATTAAATAAAACTAGTATTATGTAAAGAATGTTGGCTTGCTGTTATAAATGATCTGTTTCATATTTTAAGGAATGCTTGTTTTTAGGTGAAATAATTATAAATTTACTCAAGGAATATAATGGAATGTCAGAGCTTCATGTATTGTGGAAAATGTATGTTGTAAAGTTTTTTTTCCCCCTCACAATGAGTGTATACAAGAAAACATGCATTAATTTTAATTTCAAAGAAGGCTCGTTGACTCCATATTTTATTTAGATCTATATTTTAAGCTTTAGACTGAAAATGAAAATTAGGTTATTTCCTTTGTTAAATTATTATTTTTTTTTTCAGGTTCTTTATTGATGCTGAGGATAAAATCTTTGCCCGATCAGTTTTGTTTGACACAGAGCCCAAGGTAATATCAGCGATTTTCTGATTTGAATTATTTAATTTTAGTTGGCTATTTATTTATTTTACTCGGTTCATGTTTTTATTTTGTCCAAAGCAATTTGTAAAAATGTGATGCAGTCAAATTTTGTATCACAAACTTGAAGGAAAACATTATAAAAATTTCATGATATCATGAAATGAAATCATCTAATGAAAACTCAGATTATCAAAAAAATTATTTTTTTATTTTAATCAAAATAATAACTATACTAGAATTTTAAAAGATGTGTGGCAGGTATTAGTTATTTTTCAATTTATATTTTAGTAAATTTCTCCTGTTTTGTCTTCAGATTTATCTCTATATGCTTCTTTTAAAATATCTGATCTTTCCCAAACAGAATATTCTGAAATATTGTCATACCTGTCGAGTCTCTTGTTTTTTAATGAAGACTCCTGTATTTTATGACTATCTCCAGTTTATCCATATATTCTCAAATTTCTCCTTATTTGTTAAAAAAAACATTTCTTTGGTGATAAAATATCTGCTGATGGCAAAAATACCTCTCTTCTACCTCAGCAGATTGTGTTATTGTCTGTACTGCAATATGTTGATTGCTTGGCATACTGTCACAAGAGGTAGAAAAGAGAATATTGCAACTAGAGCCGTGATGGCTCAGGGCATAGAGCGTTCCCCTACCAATGAGGTGAACTAGGTTCGAATCCCAGCTATGTCAGATCGATACAAATTTCTCATCCGGCTTGCATCAAGCGCAGTCCTAATGTGAAATATCCTCAGTTGTTGACGGATCACGGGTTAGAGTCCTCTTGCTGTCAGGCTAACCGTGTTAGGTTTTCCTCTTCATGTAACGCTAAAACGGGTTAGTTCCATCAGAAAGGTCCTACATGAAGGCAAATTTATTCCAATACTTGATTCAGGAGTTCCCTTGTCTTCTGGATTAGGTTCAAAATGACAAGGATATGGAGTTGATTATTAGTAGATGTAAACCTAAAAAATTGGGTCGGCTGCTCGTTTGTAAAATAAAATAGTTTTATTGTAGATAATGGTTTTAAAACAATTTCCTTCGATTAGGATTTATATACATATCTTCCCTAAATGTAAGTGCTTATATTATCCCCAATTTTTACTTACATGATTGCGCATGATGCATCAAAACTTAACTCGTATAGTAAAATCTCCGTCATTTTATGTCTCCAATGTCTAAATTAACTATGTAATTCCTCATGAGAGTATTCATCATAGATCAAGTCAAAGCATAGAAAGTTTTATTTCATTAAAAAGATTAAAGGAACTGATACATTTTAATCTGTGCAAAAATTTAAAAATTAGTCTTAAAATGTTAAATAGTTTTAATACATATAATGAAGGCATGATAAGTTGCTTAAAACAAACTTCTGTCGCATCTTTCTTTTCAACTGGATAAATACAAAACAAAAGTACGTTCATATATTGAATTTCTTCATCTATTTTTTTCCTTTAAATTTGAAAAAAATAGCAATGTAAATAATTATTGTGGATCATTTCATTTAAATATTTCTATATAATTTCAATTATTTTAAACGCAGTTTATGGCCAATTATTTTATACACATAAAACGTACTGTTCTTGTAAATGGAAAATTTTTTTGGTCCTAAGAATGTCTGCTTAGCCGAGGTTTCGATGTATATATTATTAGCTTTTACACTTTGGGTTAATACCTAACCCATACAAGGTTCGGTCGTAGGGTGTTATTATGGTTTTGTGAAATTAAATATAAAATTAAGTCCTTAATTGGAGTTCAGGAAAATGCTATTAGTTATTCTACAGAAAATAAAATTAATAAACAAAGTTGTAGCTATTTTTGTTCAAGCTCAACATTCTAATGAATTTTAAAGGTAGGGAAGCAATTTGTCAATTGCAAAGTAAATTAGTTTAGATAAAAACAATTATTTTAAGTTACTCTAGATAGAAGTTACTTACTAGTTACTCTAGATTCTTTTTTCATTGTTGATATGCTCTAGGTTTTAAAAGTGCTTGTATTTAAAGAAACATACATTTAAATGGGTATCATTGATTATGTTAGTACTAGTAAATACTAACATACAGAAAATTAGGAATTTCATTCATACAGAAAATTAGGACTTAAAAATTTCAGGTCACTTTTTGTCTCTTATTATTATTTAGCCTAGTTTGAAATGCCTTAATTTACATCCTTTCACTATTCTTTTGTATAAAATCTTCATTATCAAGAGAATCATAATAACCATATCCTGAAAAATATATTTATTGAAGAATATATAAAAATATTTTAGTTATAATAAATTAATGATTTCTTTAAAAAGTTACAATCACTTTAAATGGATGATTTTATCATGATTTAAATCTGTGCATTTTTTAAATTTATGTAAAGTAAATGAAAATTTGAAGGAAGTATATAAACTTCATGTGTTTTAAGAATGTCATTTAAAGTTTACTATGCTCGCATTCCATTTATTTGCAAGTCATTGCAAAATGTACTGTATCTTTGTATATGAAACTTATTTCTGCGCGTTCTATCTCCTACTTTTTTGAAAACGATATATGTGTTAGAAATTTCTCGGTATTTTCATCTTTCAGTATTTAGATAACTATTATTCTTCAACATTTTAAACTGAATGGTCATGTTTTTAGGTAATTGAAGAAATTTCCAAACCTTTTAAAGGGAGATCTTGGTTTTACCGTGATGATGGTGCTGTCCGTGTTCATGACTTGGGCTCGGGTAATAATTGGGCCATGGGATATCACTGCTACGGACCAACTGCACAGGATGCTGCTTTGAATGCTGTACGCAAAGAGATGGAACGCTGCGATCATTTAATTAGTTTACTCCAACTCTCATCAGTGGCTGGTGGTACAGGAAGTGGTTTTGGCTCTTATCTCTCTCAGCTGTTTCGAGATGAATTTTCAACAAAATCCTCAACCAATATAGTAAACAAGTATACTTTATTATAATGATTACACTAATCTTTTATAAATTATTTAACATTCATTAAATACAGTAGTTTTGAGAGGTACCTATTTTGTGACAATTTAGACATCATTTGTGAAAATAAAAAATCATATTAAAAAATCAACGCAAAAATATGATAAAGTAAGAAAATATTTTCAAATATTGTCATAAAAATCATTTATGACAGGTAAATTTCTGTATATTTTTCCCCATATAAAAAAGATAATTTTACTATTGTAAAATTGTGACTTAAAATTGCATTCAAATTTAAAATTCCATAAAAATCATAGTGCATAGTTAAATTTCAACTTGAGTTTAATAAAAACGTGCATTTAACAGTTCTAACACTAAAAGTTATTTTCATTACCTGATCACGTTTCATTTGACTAGGTCATACAGGAAAAAGTTTTGTTAAAAGAAGACAAAAAGTTTTTCCTAAGAAATAAAGGCCTGTTAGAATAAATTTACAATAGTGTTTAAGATAATGTTCGAATGTTTAGAATAACATTCGAATTTTGACTTCCTGCAAAGTTTACAGAAGGGAGCCCTAGTTGTTTAATTTTAAAATGTTCGGCTAAAAAAAACTCACTTTGATATGGTGTCGCAAATATTGTGTCGCGTGCTATTTAGGGCATGCGACACAATATTTTGAGCACGCCGCCCATCGCAAAGTCTCACTATGAAGCATATTAACAATTAAATTAAAATTCACAATAAACAAACGAAAAAATAAACAATTTTTAACCAAATAACTATCAATTAATGCCAAAAAACAATTAATAAGCATAAAAAACAAGCTAACAGTAAATAACTAGCAAAAAATTAACAGTAATCTTTGAACTAACATATTACAACCTAATATTAAGACTCCTATACTATCAGAGCTGACCTATCAAGCAATATTGGAGCAAACAAGTTCGCAAGTTAACTTTATGTTAGTATTATTTGTGTTATGTGCTTACGTTAGCTCTTTGCTTCAAAAATAAATGATAAGTCGGCCTGTCTAATTCAGGGGCTCTACCTAATACAAGTTATTTGTCTTCTAATCTGCAACAACAGAAGTCACAATAATGTTACTTTAAGTTGAACTGAGACATTGCGAAATGTATTATTTTTCATAGTAAATAAAGAGTTTTGAGTTGATAGTATTTAGTATTATTATTTTCCCAATAATCACGAAGTCAAAATTATTTGACGGCACGTCTATGGCCTCATTAAGCAATTTTTTTTAGAAAAAATGGCACACTGGTGCATAAAGTTTCGCCACCCCTGCCCTAGACAGACCCCTGCTTATATATATCAGGGGTCTGTCCAGGCCAAATTTACTACCGATTAGCAGTATCTTCGCAAACTCTACTCTAGGAAAAACGGTAGTTTCACAAAATGCTTTTTCTTAAAATTTTATTTTTGTATCTCATAAGAAACGATAAATCTATATTTTTTTAGTCGATTTTTTACTATAATTTTTAATTTTCGCAAATTATGTCTATATTTTCGCAAAATAGGTACCTCTCAGAAAAACCTAGACTGACCCCTGTATATACACATTTTTACTATTAATTGTAATAATTTATGACTTTTTATTAATTGTTTATGATTAATATATTCCATTTTTAGTCAGATCTCTAGTGAATGAGGATTAATTTATGTTTCTCACTTTCTTAAAATAATTCATTCAAAAGATTGCTTATGTATAGAAATTTTTACTACAGTACGGAACCCGTTACCCGAAAATCAGAAAACCAAACAACCGGAACGAAATTCAATAAATTTTCCCGCCATTTTTTTTTAAAAAAATGTTTTTTTCCTCATAAGATTTTAGGATTTTTCTTTCTTTTTTGAAAGATGTTTACTTTACCACCATTTTGGAAATTATCATTAGTGTATTACTTCAGCGTTTTTTCTTCTTTTTAAGATTATTTCCAACTATTTTTGTTTGTTTTAGTTGGATTTAACAATAAAAAAACGGTTTTGTATCGATTCAGAAAACCGGAAAAATCAGTTATCCGGAATAGCGATGGTCCCGATCGTTATGGATAATTGGTTCCCTACTGTACTAATATACTAATTTTCTATTAATTGTTTAACATTTATTAGAGTAGTTTCTTATAAATGTTACTCTATTTTTAAAGTGATTTTTGATGAATGAGGTTAACCGTACATTTTTAAATTGTTATTAATGTTTAAATCAATGTTTAATATGCTACTTTCTTCCCCTTAATTTATACCCTATTAAGGAGACTGTCCCCATACCATGAATATTTGATGTCATATTGATAGGACACTGAATTTCTATCAAAAGGCATTTGGAAAATTATTATTTTTATTTTATTTATATTTTTTTTTCATCATCATAAACAACATCAATATATTTTAATCATAACATTTTGATTATTGTTGGGAAAAAAATACATTTGGAAATCCTTTCATCTGTTTCACGATTTCGACCTGTTTTGAAATTCGTATTTTAAATAAGAATTTATCATTTTACTTAGTTTGGAATTTGTTTGAAAAAAATTTAATTTTTTTCTGATAAATCACTTATTATTATTAAATAGCATTCACGAACATTATTCTACTATTACTTTAGGCTATCTGCATTAAATACAAGAAGGAAGGATAATATTATTTTTGTTATTTTAGCTATGAAAATTTGACAAATACAGTCGGGCTTATATTTAACGAACTTCCATTTTACAAATTTCTCTATTATGCGAATTTTTTGGAGGAACCAAGAACATTTTGGAAATTTCTTCGTAAAATAATTTCCAAATAGCAAAGTGAATTTTCTATTTAACAAACTTTTCCTTGAGATCCACTTTCCCTATTTCCCAAAATATTTTAGAACATTTCAAACTTGCTAACGCATTTTATGGTGGAAATGACCTTAAATTGATTTTCAAGGCTACTTTTAGAGAGAACGGTGAAATCCCTTTCCCTTTTGTATTCATTTCAAACGAAAAACTCAGACAAAATGAACGGATTTTATCGGTAGCAATTAAACTTAAAACCGCAGGTGGTAATGTACGTCTAACATTACTTTGCAGTTATCATTTTATACAGCAAATAAATGCAGCTATAATTTTATACGTAAATTTGGCATCTTTTAGTTGAAAAAGTAAGTAGCATGGTAGTGTAACACTGGGTAATGTTTTGCTCCATTCATATACAGATTTCTTTTATGGCTGAGATTTATAAAACAAATAGTAGATACTATCTTACAAGATAAAGGTGTATCCATTGCTATTTTAATTATGACTAGCTTTTATGAATTTAACACAATCGCTGGCACTGGCATGTCAGAGCGGCACCTCCTAGTATGCCGACGACGTGCTAGCGCGTTGATCGACTATGATAAATTATATGCTCTGTGTTTAGTGTGGCTTTTGGAGTTGAACGGAGAGGTTGTTTCGGCACGTTAGTGAAGCATTATTTTTTTATTTTTTGTGGTTGGTTTTCAAAACTTTTGTTCGAATTTTTTTATGTCGCGACTGCCAATATCTGTATATTGTGCTTATTATTTGTAAATATTTTCAATATTGTTTCTGAGAATGCTGATCAGACGCACTGGAGCGTCAGTGGTACTCACGAAGACACGTTAAGTCTGTGTGCCACTGACGCTCCAGAGCTTCGGGGGGAAAAAACGCTCTCTAAACAGGAAAATAATATGTTTCTTCGTTTTTTCGGTTTTCCTAGTAAAATATAAGGAACATTTAAACCATTAAAACCCTGTTTTGTAATCCGGCTTCTCAGGATAGAAGTATCATTTTTAGTGGCAGTGAATGTGTTAAAAACCTGTTTTGTGTTGTTTAAATATTTCAAAAGGTGATTTTCTATTTAACAAATTTTCCATATAATGAACTTATTATCGGGATTTAGCAACTTCGTTAAATAGAGATCCGACTGTATATATTTTTTCAATAAATTATCAAATATTCTCTAATTCCCTAACAGATTGATTGACTAGTTTTCAGCTTTTTTATTTTACTGAAGTGTTTTTAATTTTTAGATAATGTGGCCTTTCCATAAATGTGATGTCACAATTCAGGCCTATAACTCCATCTTATCTCTCTCTTCATTTCAAGAGTCTTCGGATGCTATATTTCTCTTTGAGAATGATTGGTTGATGAAACTTTGTCGTCAAAAATTGAGAATCAAATCTTCCTCTCTCCAAGATTTAAATAAAGTGGCTTCTCTGCAACTAGCTCATGTTTTACTTCCTATTGGGAATAATCTCAATTTCAGTTTCACATTCAGTAAGTAAAATTTGATCTGAAATAATTTAATTATTGAAAGTGTGTGTAAACATTCAAGATTCAATGATAAATAGTTCTGTGGGGGGGGGAATTAAAGAAGGCTGAATACTTACAGGGTATCTGCACACCTCGAAAGTCGTGAATTTCGGTATTTGTCATGATTTGAACTATTTTTTAAAAACAAAAGTCATGGATTTAGGTCCCCAAAAAATGGAATTTACTTCCCCCCCCCCCAATTTTATGATGTCCCGAACATCTGAATTTGTAACAAAATCCCCACTCACAGTCCTATTTTATTAAAATATAAAATGCTTTTATCATGTTCTTTAAAAATGATGGTGTTCTTTCAAAAAATGAAGGAAAAAACATCATTTCGAGGGTGAATTATCTTTTAATCTTTTGTGATTTCAGAATTTTTAATATTTTTATTTTTTTTTATTTTATCAATTTAAAATTCCAGCTGAAGCAAGTCAGTCTTTTTTTTTAAATTAAGAAATGAGAACAGAAAAATCAGGAGTAGGAGAGAGGGGGGCACATGTGAACAAATTTTTTTATTTTTTCATTTTTCGAAAATTATCATCAATTTCTAACCGTAAAGAAGTCCATGTGTTTAAATAGTCTTTTCTTTGTCTTATGGAATTTTTTGAGATTTTTCAGTGAAATATTTCTTTACTTTATGATATTTTAGAAAAATGTCTTCAATTGTTCACATGTGCCCCCCATAGGGGCACATGTGAACATGCCTGGGGAACATATAAACAAGATTAAAAACACAAAGTAGTCATCATATTTAAAAGAAAAAAATCTTTAATATAATAGATATAGATGCGAATTATACTGTAGGGGTTGTAGCTTACTATGGGAATTTAAATTGTACAATAGTACTGTCAATAAGAAAATAATTTTTCCGCTGTTGGGTTTTTCGTAATTTCATGTTCCTCAGGAGTTATAATGGGCCTTTTTCTTTCCTCTCTGATACTTTTTCATGCTTTTTTTTTTTTTCATTTTTTCTATCTTTTCATTTGTAGCATTAGCAATTCTATCTTTTTCAGGTGTATCAGTTAATATGCGTGATCAAATATTTAATAAAAAGAAATTCTTAAAGAAAAAATTAACGATTAATAAATTAATTATGGAAAATTAAATAATAATAATAATTTTAAATGCATACATATTTTTTAAACTTATAATATCATGAGGATAATAATCTTAATACTATGTAGGGGCATATGTGAACTGTTCACATCTGCCCCAGATGATTTGTTCACAAGTGCCCCATCATCCTTCTTAAACCTTACTTGAAAAATAAAGAACTTTTAATTGAGTAAAAAAAAAAATTAATTGTCATAAACTTACCTGAATGTTCATATAATGGTCTGCAATAGTTAATTTCAGTTTATTAGTTGATTTATACTATGCTTTCACTTGAAGAAGCTAGTGATTATAATATATACAACACCAACTGATACAAAGAAATTGTCAGAATAGAACAACAAAATGTCTCATTGTACTGAAAGTTTCGCAGAGAGGTAGGACTAGTACTGCCATCAATTGAAAATTTTTCAAGATTTTTTATTTCAAATCATATTTTTAAAACATACCATGTTCACATGTGCCCCCCTCTCCCCTATTTCTTTCCTCGCCGATGAATAAGAAAAGTATCTTTAGAATATAATTCTGCAGAGAAAAAGAAGAAAAAATTATTTGCTTTTGTGATTTTTTTCAGCTCTTTTATTGCTTCAATTCTTTCTTTACTCCATTTTTTTTTAAATTTGAAATCTATAAATATGAAGATGCAGAATATAACTGTTATGCCTATCATTTCGATGAATGTTATTATAATGCTTTTTTAAATTTATTGTTGTGTTTTTGTTGGAGGAAATAGTCATGAAAAATTTTTGGAATGAAACATGAATTTGAAAATCTAAAATGTAGCCTGGTCTTACCATAGAACACAAACAATGTTGAGAGAGTGAAATGCACTTGCTGCCATAACTTTGAACGTAGAAACGTAATTTTTTTTTGCGGCAAGTCCTCCATGAACTGTTGCTTAAAGTAAGTCGGCTGGAGTGCAACAAGGTGTGTGTTTTATGCATGATAGTGCCACTACACATTATGTGCTCAAGAAGTGTAATCATCTTGAAGTAGTTTGTACATTTATTCTATGGGGTCACCTTAAATCACTCAATGTTATACAACATCTGTGGGGACACCATAATATCTCTTAAAGCAAGTCATCATTTTGGTAGGCATCAAAAGCCCGCCTGACAAACACACCCAGGTATTCTGCAATGATGTCAACTTCTTGAAACAATTTTTTGTAACACTCAAATCTCTTTTATAACTGTTAATCTTTGTTGTTGTATTCCAGCTTGCAATTAAAAACTGTGACTTTTACCTTGACACTGTTTTTATCCTCTAGATGCTTATCATCCCTCTTTTCTGAGAGAAAAGAAAAAAATTTAGTCAATTATTTTTATCTTTAATTAGTTTTTTTTTTTAATTGTAAGCTTTATCTTTGTTCTAATATTCATTTTATATAAATTTATGACAGTGCCTTTATTTATATTACTTAAATAGATTTTTAATATTTATTTCAAATTTAATTTTAAATCATGCATTTTGAATTTAAGTTAAATTAAACTCAGTCGAGCAACAACGTATAAAGAACCAAGGCCTACACTGCCCATCTCAGTTTTCTTGACTGTGGGGTGCAGGAGCAGATGTTCCGGTTGGGTGCTCAACCGAACACAGAACCCCCAGTGTTTAGTCTGCAATCGTGCTTGGTACTCATTTTATCGACCCACCGAAGGGGTGAAAGGTTGAGTTGACCTCACCCCGTCCATGGATCGAATCCAGGACCCGTGGCATGAGAACAATTACCACTCAGCCACCGGGCTCTGAGCTGAACATATATACATCCAAAAAATATGTTTCTGTGAATAAAAAACGCATGGATGTAGCAATAAAAGCGCTTTACATAAAGAGAAAAAAATAACAAATTAAACTGTTCTTTGTTTTATCTAAATATTTTCTGTATGTGTATATATCTCTTAATATCCTAAGATAGAAATATATAATTCATTAACTATTTAACCAACTGATCGGTATTTGTTTGTGGCATCTGACGATATACTTCCACCTGTTTTTTTCCCCCTCCCTCTAACAAACAACCATTTTCCCCATTCTAATGAAGGAGAAAGTTATTGATGTTTAGTTTCTATGTAAACTTGACCAAAATCAGAACACTTGGTTGGTTAATATAAATAACAATATTTATAATTGAAACCATATTTTATTTTAGTTATTTGTCTATTTTTTTATCAAAAAATATTTTGCACTTAACATCTTATATCATATTATTATAGTGTCTCTCCTGTTAAGTTCTAATTATTAAGCTAATACTAAGTTCCCCGGTGGCAGAATTTTTTCGAGCTGTCTGCAACAAAACTCTCTAGCACTAATGTCTTCCTGCAAGATACTTTCAGTAATAACGAACATATATCTTACTAATTTATATTTTGTTGTGGGGGGGGGGGAAACACACAAATTATTTTCTTCTTCGCATTTTGTAAATAATTGTTACAATTAAGAAAAGTAATTATAATCGTGAAATCCATTGTAGTAATCGTCGAAAAAAGATCGACTGCAAAATCATGTGAATCAAACTCCTCAAATGTGTGTTTCGTTTCGAGATTAGGTTGTTGTCACAAGTAATATCGGATTTAAAAACAGTGGAGAAATCAATAGCAATAACTGCTGAAAATTCGATAGAATTATTGCTTTAAAATGTAAATACTCAAATGCCCGATTCGAATTTTCCATATTGTTTGAAATGTATAGGGATATTTAAAAACCGTGTGAAAATCAATATCACTAAATGCCGAAAATACAGTAAGACCTCGATTATCCGAGCTAATTGGGACCGCTAGTACCTCGGATATCGGAAATCTCGGTTAATAGGAACCATGTATAAAAACCTTCCGTGCTTGAGAATTTAACTACTTTTAAAGTAAAAAACAATAGAACGTTTTTTAAATGATAAAAATAAACATAAATGAACTTATGTTTCACAGCTAAAAAGACTTAAAAATGAAATCAACTCTAGTAGTAAATTTTAAAAAGTAAAATGGAATTTTTTTTAACTATACTTAGTTAAATATCGAAAGACGCATTTTCAAGAAAATATTGTATTTTTAAAATTTACATGATTAAACTTACAAGTCACATGACCACTGTTAACAAAGCATTCATGGATGCTGTCTTCTCAGGGTGTAATAATTCATGTAAGTTGAGTGCTTTTGTGGGGAATAAGTGCCTGTAACACAGACAACGAACTAATATGTGTATAATTTCTTCCAAGCTCATTTTGGAGAGGAGAAGAAAAAAAATTTAGACTTCGTTATTGCCTTGGTTAACAGAAACCTCGGTTAATCGAAGCTCGGTTAATCGAGGTTCTACTGTACAATCAAAACATTACATCGGTTTGCGATACTATCTGCGTAAATTGAGCGCGTCAAAAATGTTCAAATGAAATGTTTTACTTTGAATGAAATGTTTTTACTTTTCAAAAGAAATATCTTTCTGTAAGAACTGTTCTGTGACAATGTCACTGAGATTATGGCACTTAGCTAATAAACTTAGAATTAAATATGTTGGATATAGATAGCAGCACCTCTTTAAAATTTTTACTCTTTGAATGTTTTTCTGTTTTATTTTTTCAGAAAAAGGGAGTCATTTATTTCTAAAGTTTTCTTTATGATTTGGCAATTTATTTTGATGTGACTATTCTAACTGTTAACTTTATCTTTATTTTTCTTATTTGTGAGTGTTTCTTTATTATCTCTTATTTTGTGTACTTTTAAATCATTATTAAGACTTACTTTGTGATTGTTTGTCATTTGTTTATTTTTGCTTTTCAATAAGATAAGATTTCAATCAAATAAGAATTGCTTTTCCATTACGGGGCACTGTCAGTTTTTGGTTTCACCACTGACAGCAGAAAGGCTCCCGTGTGTTGTCCCCCTATGAAGTGCTGTCATATCTTAATATATTTTATAGTTTTCTGACTTTATAAGTATTTTAGACTCATTAAGTAATCATTATTTCTTTCATAGATGACACCTTAGCTCATCTCGTTCCACATCCGCAATTTAAATTAGTGGGTTTTCGCTCTGTGCCTCAAGAACCTTCTGCTTCTCTTCCCTTCAGTGCTCATACTTGGCCTGGATTATTGCAAAGTCTGAAAAGAATGATTCTTTATAATACTGCCATTGATGAAGGTAAACTTGTTTTTTTTCCAAGGGGCCATTCAAATATTACAAAAACATATTCTTCCCTCCTCAAAAATAAGCATTGTCCACATTTTGCATAATCTAATTTTATGATTAAATTAAAAGTATATGTAATTTTGTTTAAAACAAAATTTGCATCATTAAAGCAATTCATTTCATAAAATTTTGAAATTCCTTTAAAAAAATTCAGCTTTTAGTCCAAATTAGAATATTTTTCTAATGTAATTTTTTTCCAAATTTTCCTTGCATTTATTTTGCATTTAAAAAAAATTGATGCTATTGGGACAAAGTATGCATTGCTTATATCACACCTACCCCCTACTCAGCCATAATAATTCCTCACCCTTTAATGCTTATGTCATATTTGAATATCCCCTGACGATCTAGTAACTGTACTTAAAATATTTATCCCATTTACCTCAATAAAGTCTAAGCAAAATCTTTACAAATATAAAACTTAAAATTAAAATAAATTTTGAATTGAAAATCTTGTACAAACAAGCATTTAAATGGTGCCTTTGAAATATTAATAGATCTTAAATAAAATACATATATTAGGAGTGCATAGCTTTTTTGGGCATTTGCAAAAAAATGAACTCTCCGGGGCCACAATGAATCCATTTTTTATATCAATCAATAATAACTTAATTATTTAGAGTTATAATAAGAACACTAAAAAATGTTCTTCAAAATTAAAAGCCAGATTATGTACATATATTTCAAAATTAAAAAACAATTGAAGTTTTGTACAGTGTTAAAGAAAAAAAGATATCACCCTGAATAACTTTTGTTCTAATGATGAGATTTTCTCTTACAAAGTGTCAATCTTAAGGGTTCCTGAGAATGACCTCAAATAAACTAATTATTTAGTTCTAACTATTAAGTTACAAAATTGGACACAAAAACATACTTTCTTTGAATAAACATATATATATTTTTACATATTTGGGTTCTTCAAAATATCCGCTATCTGGGAAATATAGTATTTAAAAGAAATATGCAGCAAGAAGGTTGTATGTGAATACCAATTTTTTCTACATTTTGTCATAAGAGGATAAGAATGATATTGCTCGAAGGAACCTACTCAATAATTTTTTTATTTTCAGAATTGGAATCGGTTCGCTAAAAGTTTAACTATTATTATTTATCTAAACTTATTTTATTAATTTAATGATATCAATGTTAATAATTTATTTTAAGCAAATTGTTTAATAATTTTAAGCAAAATAAGTATACCATATAAAATATATTTGGAATGAAACTTGGAAATACATTTTCAAACAACTTCAACTAGGATTGAAGCGTTAACTTGTTTTAAAAAGCTGTCCTTGTAACTATTTCATTTTTATTCCTGGTGGACATTCCTTTCTCACATTCGACTTTTGAAACTTCAATTGTAGACAGAATTTTTTTAAGTCCTTAAAAAATGTTATTAAGGGTAGCAGTAAAAAAAAAGTGTACTGTATTCATATTTTAAGAAAGTAGTGACTAATTATTATTTTTTCAATCTAAACACCTATGCCTTTATCCTACGTAAAACTTATTTTAATATTGCTCAAAGTAATTTATTAATATATTGTCTTACTAAATGATATATCCTAAGAAACTGAATCAAAAAGATAAAAACTTTATTGATTTAAAAAATAAGAGATGATAATAAAAGTAAACATGTTTTGAATGTCTAATAATTAAAGTAACAAGTCATTCACACCTGGCGAATCTTGAGAATGGGCGTGCATTTTTGAATGCTCGAAACATGTCGGCTATTATTTCCCTTTTCATATTTTCAAAAGATAATAAAGTTTTTATCATCAATTGAACTGTTTTACATTTGGGTCTTCATCATTATTTTGATAAAGATTTTATGCTCATAAAAGTAAGCATACACATTTCAATATTTAGTTAATAATTTTAATATTATGTAAGATTAGGTATTCCTCTGTTGAATTAGTTTATAGGTTATCTTAAAATATTCATTTGTGAGGACGACTTTGTTTGGCTCTATTTTTGGACTATCACCAAATATATATAGCTTATTTGCCCTCCAATTTATGATCCAATCTGTGTCTACCCTCTTATTTTGAAGATCGGAAATCCAAATATGTAAACGAAAATCTGTGTTTATTCAAAGAAAGTGCGTTTTTGTGTCTGACTTGTAATTTAATTAATAGTTAGCATATTTGAAGCCACCCCCTAAAACCATTAAGATTCACACTTAGTATGTGAAAATCCAATCATTAGAACAAGAGTTATTCAGGGTGATAATTTTTTCTCTTTTTTTTGTGCACTGTACATAGTGATGCAACGGATCTTAATTTGGCCGGATACCGGATATCCGGCCAATCTTTGAGCCGGATGCCGGTTATCCGGCCAATCTTTGAGCCGGATATCCGGTATCTGGTCGCAGTACTTTTTTTAAAATAGGTATTTATATTTAATTGGACTAGACAAAACTGTTATTTTTCTTTTGCTTATATGATTATATATTTCTTTTAAATAAACTTTCAATTATAAGTACTTAACTTTAAATTTCTGACTATCAATAAATAACTATTATGTAAATAACACTTAGTTGAAGAATGTTATCTGCACTGAGTATTGTGCTTAGCTTAAATAAAACCACTGATAGAATATTTATTATAAGTAGGTGGCAGAAACAAACATCTGTTAAAGATTCAAACTTATTTATATTAAAAATCAAATTGAAATAATGAATAAATTAATAATTTTAAAAATATTTCTTTTGTTCTTAATATTGAAGTATATATATAATTTTAATCATCTTTTTCTGAAATAATGTTCTTCTTCTGAAATAATGTTCTGAATAATGTCATTTGCAAAAGCAGGTTTTACTTCTATAGTTCTTACCACCCACTTTGTAAGACCAGGTCCCTAAGATAAGATATATTGTGTAATGGTCAATGGTGTTTTCCCCTTTGTTAACTATAACCGAATCTGTATACTTACCTCAGTTGTGCTTTGATAGTTATAGGCTGCAGTTATATTTTACTTTATTTTTATAATTGTGAGAATAAATTTGTCATAAACTGTTGAAAGGCAATTATAATCATGAGTTTTAAAAGCAAAAGTGCTGTATGGAATTATTTCAAGTATGAGGAAGATGCAATTAAAGTGAAATGCAATCTTTGTTGCTGCTTTATCTCAAGAGGTAGAACAGGCAAAAAAGCATCAACTTCTCCACTATTAAATCATCTAAGGAGAAAACATTTAGCAGAATTATTGTTGCAATGAAAAAGGTCAGGATTTAGGTTTTGAATCCACTGATGATACTGTAAATGCAGATGATCCCAGTACAAGTTCTAAAAAAAGAAGATTGTAGCAACCAACTTTAGAAGCAGTTCTGGAAAAGAAAAAAATCTGGGATATAAACAATCCAAAAGCTGTAGAATTACATTATGCTATTGGCCAAATGATAGCAGTAGATAATCAGCCATACTTATTTGTGGAAGATGAAGATTTTTGAAATCTCATGGCAAAAGCATAACCAGAGTATAAAGTTCCATCAAGGGAATATTTCAAACAAGTAATTATACCAAAAATGCATTCAAAATGTAAAGAAGAAATTGAGTCATTGCTTTCTTCAGCTACATATATATCTTTAACTACTGATATATGGTCTAATTCAGTAACTAAAGACAGTTTTATTAGCTTTACTGCTCACTGGATAGATAATGATTTTAATTACAAACATTTTGTATTAAACTCAAGACGCTTTCCCGGAAGTCATACTGGAGAAAATGTAGGCAAGATGTTAAGCAGCTTGAGCGAGGAATGGAATGTGACAAGTAAAATATATCTTGTCGTTCGTGATGGTGGTTCAAATATTGTAAAAGCCGTAAATGATCTCAATTTCGAAAGTGAATCTTGTTTTTTACATAATTTGCATTTAATTGTAAGTGATGCATTAAAAGGATATCATTGCTCTAGGAAGAAGAATTGTTGGCCATTTCAACCATTCTTCTTTAACTTGTTCAAAATTTAAAGAAATACAAGCAAAACAGTTACATATACAATACAAAAAATTAGTGCAGGATGTTTCAACAAGATGGAACAGTACATTTTACATGTTAAACCGCTTACAAGAATTACAAAATGCTATATCCATCTAAGCAAATGGAAACAATGAAATTCAGAACTTTTCATCATATCAGTGGACTTTAATTGAAAATTGTATAAAATTGCTTCAACCATTTGAAGAAATAACTAAGCAGATAAGTAGTTCAAAATCATTAATTTCTGAACTTATTCCTATGGTTGTAACTTTACAACTATATTTGTTAAAATTTGTTGAAGTTTCTGGAATTGGAACAATGAAAGAAGCGTTAAAAAAATATATACATAAACGTTTTTCGACAAAAAAGTTGAACAAACATTATTTACTGGCAACGATTTTGGACCCACGATATAAAACACTGTTTTTTGATAAAGATCAAAGTTATGATGAAGTTGTGAAATCTTTATTACTTTCGTTAATGAAGGAAAAATTATCTGAAATTTTTAAATCGTCAGAAAATGCGAACAGTAGTAAGTCAATCACAAAATATTCTCACAAGTGAACTGAAGGTGAGGAATGTGTATCTATTTCTGTTTGGGATGTTTTCTCAGAAATAACTAACAACAGTAATATAAATAATAAAATTACTGATACTGACAAAAATGAGTTAACTTCAGTGCAGGAGTTGAATAAATATATTTCATTACCAGTTATTGAAAGAATCACCACTCAACTGGTGGGAAAAAAATCAAAATAATTTTCCCTTATTATCAAAATTAGTCTATAAATATCTATCTCCTCCTGCAAGCAGTGTTTATAGTGAGAGGCTGTTCTCTAAAGCAAGCATCATTTATGAGCAAAGAAGAAGCAGAATTTTGCCAAAAAGTGCTGAACAATTGCTTTTTTTGCATCACAATTTATCGATTTTGAAAAATGATAAATTGGCTTAAAAAACATTTTTTATTCACTTTTT